TTCCTTCCTTCCTTCCTTCCTTCCTTCCTTCCTTCCTTCCTTCCTCCTTTCTTTTCTTTTTCTTTTTCTTTTTTTGAGACTCTGTGTAGCTTTGGAGCCTTTCCTGGAACTCACTCTGTAGCCCAGGCTGGCCTCAAACTCACACAGATCTGCCTGCCTCTGCCTCCGGAGTGCTGGGATTAAAGGCATGCTCTACCACTGCCCGGCTTGAATGTTTCTTTTAAGTTGTCCGAATTTAATTTGCCCAATATGATCACTCACGCAGCAAGAGGAGGCCATTGACTTTTCATTGCTCTCTGTTTCTCTGTGTGCAACTGTTGGTCATTCTCTGTGACTCTGATTATGCATCTCACAAATAAGTGAGCACCTTCCCATATACAACAAAAACTGTTGTTTAAAAGGAACTGAATACAAACCATATATACAATTTTGTAACAGTCACATAAAAATAAGTACAAATGATATTTTCTATTATTATTTTTAGGGGTTTTTGTGTGTCTGCATGTGAATATGTGCACATGAGTACAGCTGCCTGGGGAGTTTAGAAAACTGTGTTGAGTCCCCTGGAGCTGGAGTTACAGACAGTTACGAGCCACCTGACGGGGTGCTGGGAACCAAACCTGAGTCCTCTAGAAATGCAGCAAGTAGTCCTAACTGCTGAGCCGTCTCTCCATCCCCAATTTCAATGACATTTCTTATTCAAACATAATCGAAAATATTAATATATAATCAACACACAAAAGCATTGATGAGATATTTTGTACATTTTTCTGTACAGTCTCTGAAATCAGATGTTTATTTTACATTGAATGTTTGTCTCAGTTTGTGTCAGACGTATTTCTTTAAAAATTTAAGAAATGGGCAAGGGTAACTATGGTCAATACGTAAAATAAATGGAAAAAATGTTAATTAAATAAAAATTTAAGAAATGGCCTGTAGGGTAACCTCCCTTTGCGTATATATCTCTGCTTCCATTTTAGTGTTTTTATGGGGTTCCTGTGTGTGAGAATGAGTGGGTCTCTGTTTCTTGTGCCTTCTCTTGGGTTCTTTTCCTCCAGTTTGCTCCCTTTATCCAATTCTGATGTGTTAGTGTTTGTTTTATCTCATACTTTATTTCATTTTTTATTATGCTTTAGATGCCTGTTTGTTTTCTGACAGAAAAGGAGTGGATCCGGATGGGAGGGGCATTGGGGAGGAACAGTGAGAAGTAAAGGCAGGGGAAACCGTAATCAGATACATTATGTGAAGGAAAAAACCCTCTATTTTCAATAAAGGGAAATGAATTAGGAAATGGTTTATTTGTTTTTATTTTATGTGTATGGGTGTTTTGCCTTTCATGTATATCTGTGCACCACACGTGCGCATTGCTGTGGGGGCCAGGAAAGAGTGTTGTGTCCCCTTGAACTGGAGTTCCAGACAGTTGGGAGCTGCTGTCATGTGGACGGTAAGAACTGAGCCCAGGTCCTCTGGAAGAGCAACTAATGCTCTCAACCCCTGAGTCCTCTCTCCAGACCTCGTGTGAGTTGTGTTTCTAGTGCTCAATAATAACACATGGCTATTTGCTATTTTATTAAATCAGGTCAAATTTTGAATATTAGAATCTTTTTATTTGTTTATTAAATTGTTTTCATAAAACATCTATTGATCATGTTTTCCCAACTCCTTCCAGATCCTCCCTGTTCCCTATCCACTTTTATGTTCTTTCTTTCATTTCATTTTTTAAGATTGAAAATAGAGTTTAAAACATCTTTAAAACGAAATTAGTTATACCTCAAAAATATTAACCAATATTGGTGTAAAGTCCAGTTTTGAGGGGGCACTGTCTACAATTCAACGGTACTGTGGCCTCTGCAATGTCTTCAGTTTTGTCTTCCTGTTCCAGTAGTCACCATCCTCCCCCTCCTCTCCTTACTGATGACCTTGCCTTTATTCTCCTCTCAATTTGTCTTCCATCCCACTGACATACCAATGATATAAAAATATGATCAGGTATCTTCTCCACACACAGTCAGTCAGTCAGTCAGTCAGTGAGTCAACCAGTCAGTCAGACAGAGACACCACCTTCTCCCTCAGTGGTTTTCCGTAGACTCTCCATACTCCTCTCTGCCAGCCACATCAAATGTGAGTCATTCTCTAAGTTCACAGTCTCACACCCACTGCTTCTCACACGGTTTCTTTTCCAGAAAGGCCCTTCTCCAGGCTTGTGTTTGTGGCAGGGACTCTAGTTTCCAGTTTGATTGTTGCGTCTATTGTCAGAGCTTTCCTGACTGTTAAGGGAGTGCCTTCCTCTGTAGCCATTCTGTATCAAATAAACACATCTGCCCAGGTCTGTGACAGTACAGCAATGCAACTCTTGCAATATTAGGACTTTTCTTGTACTTCATTCAATTAAATACCTGTAAAGTCCTGCAAGGGCAGATACTTCTCAGTGTAGTGACCACTGCAGACCATGACCCCATCAAAGATATATGTTTTCTGCTTTCCGTCAACCTCCACCACAACGTCCCACTGGCCAGAGGATGAAAAATCAGGGCGCTTCCTCACCCTGCACACCTTTGTCTGGGAAACAAGAAACAAACGGGAACAGCTAATCCTAGAGCACTCCATATCTTCTCCTTTTTCTTTTTCCTTAACCTGGACATTTTGTGTTTCCATAAATAACATAGTTATTCCTTCTGCTCAGAGCTCCTGGTTCCTTTGGATTTCAATACAAAATCAATAAATGTAGTCCTTCTCAAGGATTGTGGTGTGTTGGGAAAATAATACATTAACTCCTCCCCAATCCATCTCACATTTTAGTTTTAGTAAAATTAATTGGAAACAAGATTTTAGGGACACCCCCTGCAACAAGGCTTTTATGCTGAGGAAAAACTTAATACAGAGATATTTCTTCACTATTCATGAGAGTGGCAGAGACATGGATGGGAAATGCAGACTGAAACTGTGCCCCAGCTGGCTCTGACAGTGCACACTTTACCTCAACCAATGAGCAGGTGGTAGGCGGGCTTTCACTTCTTACCTGGAACTGGATGTGTTTTATCAGCCCGAAGTGCCTGGCATACATCCTGAGATACTCCATCATTTTGGTGTTGTGCATGTAGTTGGGGTAATGGTCAGGGACGGGAAAGTCGCTGAAGCCTGTCATCTCCTTGGATGTATTGCAGGTCAAAGATTTGTATATCCCAGGCCTTCCACTTTCTGGTGTCTCCTAAAGGAAACAAACCAACCCTTGGTTTCCAGAAATTTAGGAAAGAATGCACACTGAGTTTAGGGATGGTGAGAGCTGTGATGTTGGGTTTATATTTTATTAAAAATTCTTATCACTGTTGGGGTCTGTAATAATGCTCAATTGTACAACAGCATTAGAATCTTTTAGAAGGAAGCCCTTAGAATTTTTATGGTGACAGACCCAAAATGACACCAGTAATTCAGTCGCTCTAAAAGTAAGATAATAAATTCTTGAAACGCAAGAAATAAAATGAAAACAAAATGAAAGGGATTTGGGGTGAGAAACCTGCAAAGGATGAAATGAGACTGTCAGTTTGATTGGCTTGGGAAGAACCTAGGAGATTAGCAAAGTACGCCTCTGGTTTCGTCTGTGAAGGCATTTCCAGAGAAGCTTACCCAGGGGGAAGACCTACCACGGATATGGGTGGGACAATTTAATAGGCTGGTGTCCTGGTTGGAAGGAAGAGGGAAAGAGCAGAAAGCCGGTCTGTGCAGCCATTCTCTTTGCTTTCTGGCTGCCTTGATGTGAGCTGCTCAGCTCAGTCATGCCATCCCTGCCCTGACGGACCAAAGCATAGGAAACCATGAGCCCACATGAACCTGTACTCTTAGGTTGCTTTCCTGAGGTATGCTGTCACACGGACTAGAAAGCTAACAGGATTCGGAGAAAGATTCTTCATGTACTTGAGAAGTTTCAAGTTTATATGAATAGAAGATAATGCCACTTTGTAAAGAATAGTTACCTTATTTAAAAATCTATGTGAGCTAATTCATGTTAGAAAGTATCCCTCTCTCTCTCATGCACAGATATCATCATACTTTATGAGAATATAATTTATAAAATCACCTCGTATCTCCACAGCCCTCCAATGTCACTGCTCTTTTCGAAACACGTAGGCTCAAGTCCTTCCTCCAAGCAGCTCTTAATGGCACCCAGTCCGCTGACCCCGGCACCTATGACTGCAATCTGTTTTACTTCCATGGTCTCTGAATAAAGAAGAGTTCTTTCTGTTTTGCCTGAGGAGCAAAATCAAGTTCATCACCAGGTCGGTTCTCCCATTAGTGTTAGCAACATTGGCATTTGTTCTGATAGAAATTTGATTTTTTTTTCTACCATGGCTTCTATTGTCTTGATTTAGAACACACAAGTACACATGCATGTGTGCACACACGCAAATATACACATCAACATACTATGCACACACACAACCACTTACCCCCACACAAACACTCCTCCAATACCAGATTGTTTGGTCATTTTATTCTTTGGATTTCCTTGGTGTCTGTTAATTTCTGATTTTGTTAATTTGGATATTCTCTCTCTGCCTTTTAGCTAGGTTGGATAAGGGTTTGTCTACCTTGTTGATTTTCTCAAAGAACCAACTCTCTGTTTCATTAATTCTTTGTATTGTTCTCTTGGTTTCTATGTTATTGATTTTAGCTCTCAGTTTATTTCCTGCCTTCTACTCCTCTTGGGTGTGTCTGCTTCTTTTTGTTCTAGATCTTTCAGGTGTGCTGTTAATTCACTCGTATGAGAATTCTCTAATTTCCTTATACAGGCACTTAGTGATAGGAATTTTCTTCTTAGCACTGCTTTCATTGTGTCCCATAAGTATGGGTATGGTGTGCATTCATTTTCATTGAATTCTAGGAAGTCTTTAATTTCTTTCTTATATCTTCCTTGACCAGGTGGCAATTCAGTAGAGAGTTGTTCATTTTCTATGAGTTTGTAGGCTTTCTGTTGTTGACGAAAAGGTAATTTTGTTCTAAAAATAAAATTTTTCTAATTTAAACAAAATAGAATTGCATGTAGTTGCAGATCATGAAAAATACCTTTAATAATAGAAACACCCAAGGTTTTTCATATTGCATTAAATTTTGTCTTAAAAAATATATATATAATTGGAAGTGACTATGATTTTGGCCTACTCACTCAGGGCTGGCATAAAGTTGCATGGGGATATTGTAATTAGTCTCAAGTGAACAGAAACCAAGATATCAATATCAATATATATATATGTATATATACATACATACATACATATATATATATTCAGATGAGCTATATATCGTGACTCAACACTTGGTAAGTTGACATGGAATATTTTGGGGAGTAGTCTTAGTTTTGATGATATGGGGGGCAATGGTAGAAAAAGCATATTTATTCCTTATTTAATCAGAGCTCTGGGCTGGCGAGATGGCTCCAAGGGTAAAGGAACTTGCCAGAAAAGCCCAGTTATCTGAATTCTGTCCTTGGAACCCATGTGAAAGCGGAAGGAGAAAACTGGCTCCGTAGAGTTGTCCCCTGTCCTCCACAGGTTGCTATGACATGTGCCCGATAACAATAGGTTAACAAAGTTAAAACAGAATCCATGTGTCCATCTCGCTTTTGGAGCCCTCCAGGAACCAGGCTCTATCACACCATATTTCTCTCCGTTTGCCTCCTCCTCTTGCGTGCTATCACTCACTGCACAGAGTATTGGTGACACCCCCTAGTCTGGCATTTCCTTAATCCCTTCATCAGAATACCTTCTCTTTCCCTGTGTATCCAAGCACATCATCAAGACTGAGTTCCGAGAGAAATATTGTTGCTGGTCCCCTTTTACCTTTTCTTTGACACCCTTTAGTTAGCATATACTAACTGTAGAAATAGTGGGATTGTGACATTTTATACACACGTGAAGAGTAATTTGCTTATATTTGCCCCCGTTACCCTCTCCCATTTCTCTGGTCTCTTCTGGATCCCCCTTCTTTCTTAAAGTTGTCCCCATGCCTTTTTTTATCTTCTAGAATCCACATGTAAGAGAAAGCATGCAATACTTGACTGAGCCTGGCTTCTTAGCTTAAGCTGATGATCTCAATTTCCATCCATTTTTGGGCAAATGACCCGATTTTGCTCTTCTTTGTGACTGAGTAAAGCTGTCTAGCACCTTTATTTATCCATCTATTGACCAGCAAGAGGGCCGACTTCATAACTTAACTACTGCGAATGAATCTGGCCATCTTAAATGTCTTTGTGCTTCTCTTGTTTACCATCGGTTGTCACATTTAGAAATTCACTCTAGTCATCTCACTTTCTTTTGCACTACATTATATTGGACACATCACATTCTTCTGCAATTAGATGGTGAAGCATGATGGGGACATCACATTCTCTATGAGTCTTCATCATAATGCCAAGGGACGGCATGAAACTCAATGACACAGAAATGTGCTCGGTTCTCTTAAGACTACGTCCTTATCTCTATCTTGGTTTGATGGGGTTGGGGTTCCAGCTCTACTCCCACCTGGGATAAATCGGAGGGGCTTTGCTTCTTGTTTTTCTTCTCAATACACTATAATCATGGTTCATGTGGAAGGGAAAATGGCCCCTCTGGAGGGCGACATGCAGACTCTGGTACCTATGTTAGGAGCTATAGCAAGCCTGGGACTGTGTCCTCTTTCTGAAGCTCTTTCCTATGTCCTGGAATGGTGTAAAGTGAACTGTGGTCATCCATGTATCCAACATGATGTGGTCTCTGAGAAATACATTCTCCCAGGAAGTTTCCAGTCTAGACTTGAGGAAGAAGAACTAGGAATACTATTCAGGTTGTTGGGTAAGCTACCTTCTCTAACACAGCTTTACACTTTGGGCAACAAGCCTCCATGGTTTTAATGCCTGGTTTCTTCCAATGTTCTTTCTTCACTTGTAAGAATCATTAATGAGACATGTTTATATTTTAAGTACCTCCACATTCAAAATAATTGCATACAGTCCATTCTTTCATTTCTCAAAATACAGATTCTATGCTTATTTCAAAATGGTGTTTATAATTCACCTAATCTCATGATAAATAAACTCATACCATTTAAACTTTCATATACATTTACCATCTAGAATGTTCATAGAGAGCTACTGTAGTTA